AACCAAATAATAAACACTATATAAGTTGGTGTAAATATTTTTTAAAACATTATCTCTGTCTCGTATTATGTATTTATTCTTATTATGAGTCTTTTTAACGCAATTACACACGGGAGCGTTTGTGGAAAAAAGGCTTTGGAGGGTCGGTCTTTGATGATAACATTCACGTGTTGTCTTGCTCCTGACGCTCTTCATCTGAATTCTATTAGACAGTTTAATTTACATTTTTTCACGGGAGATTATATATTGAAAAACATATAGGTGGTCCGACCCCCGGATTTAGCATTGAACCCCACAGTTTCATGTTTTTCTTTGGTCGTTAAGTTAAGTCTAATGAGTAATTTATTAAAATCATACCCTACAGCTTGTGACAGAGTGTTTGGTTGAGTAGAAACAACCGCATCTAACAGACCAACGATCACAACCGCACGATCACACCCAATGATCAGACAATCGTTTCAATTATTGTCCTCCAGCGGTGAAATTCATGTCCACATCACTGCACCTGCAGGCAACACTAAACACACAACAAAGAACATGCCAATCCACAATTAACAAATCCACAAAGAAAAACAAACAAACAATCAAAAAATAATACATGACAGGTTACGATCAACTCAGGCGCCCCCTTTGTTTAAAAGCTGCAGGGATCCGGCTTTTTCGGCATAGCTGAACTTTCTTGCAGCTCAGTGTTCGGATACCATTCCCCCAGAAGGCAGTGGGGGACATATTGATTGAGTGGGTGTGTAATGTCCAGTTCTATTGTGGTTGCAATGTGTGAGATGGCCCTGTTGTTCAGTTCTGTGAGAATGGGTGTAGGGAGTCTGATTATTTTGGCCGCTGTGTTGGTGACAGTTAGGATGTCGTAGAAACAGGAGGAGCAGTATATGATGATGATGATCAGACCAATGATCAGTCCCACTGATACACAATGATCAGTCCCAATGATCAGACCTGATGCTCTGCCGCCCTCCAGCGGTCGCTCCCCGCTCCGCACTCACTGAGCCGCGCTCTTCTTTTTTCCCCCGCTCAAGCGGAAGAAGGGATCTTTCTTCCGGACACATGGTGCAAGGTGGGCGTGTCCAGGACGCTGATGTAAACACAAAATACGCCTCATCCCCCGTCGGATAAGTCACAGTGAAGCGAATTGGCGAGATTAACCCAAATAGCCTCGGTCGGTCGGGGAAAACGCTCCGTGTCCGTCGTGTGTAATATGCGTTAAGGCGCGGACAGGCGACGCCATGGACTTCTACATCAATCTGAAGGTGAATTTCAGGGGAAATTCCAAAAATTTCCTCCTGTCGGGATCCGAGACCAAGAGCTGGGAGTCGATGGAGGCCATGGTAAGAGAGGGGAGAACCGCCGGGGCCCGTTGTCAGATCACAGTGCGTCTGTCCGCCTCTCACACACTCATTTACAGCCGCTGCTGCTTGTGATTGATGCCACTGCTGTGCCACGTCGGAGGGTAGTTGTTAAACAGCCTGGCCGGCTCCACATATGCGATCAGAGAGATGCTGTTGCCCATCATGCACCTCGCGTCCTGTGAGCTGTGAAAAGGTGGCATCAGACTGACAGCAGCACGGTAGCAGGGAGGAATCACCGCAGCCCTTACAGCATTATTACAGTGGTTAGTCGTCATGGAAACACTGTTTACCAGCTCCACATAACTGGTCTGAGCAGTCTGAATCCCACAGCCCCCATCTGAAAGGCATTCCTCTGCTCGGGTGGCTGGAGTCAGGATGTAGCCCAGTGGTGTCTGCGTCTGAAGTTAAAGTATAATACTGCAGCAGAGCATGTGGAAGGCCTGCATTTTTTTTACACGTACAATAGGTACAATAAACCTTTCACAGCAGCCATTTTGACATGAAACAGTAGGGTAAACACAGGTGTAACCAATGATACTAATGAAGGCTCCGTTCCATTTAGTGTAGCAGAGGCTTTCCAGTGAGCCAAGGTGCTCAACAGCAGCACCCGGACTCTGTTTGAGCTGACAGGAACAGAACCATTGGTAACACCTGTGTTTACCCTACTGTTTCACGTCAGAATAGCTGGTGAGAAAACCAGCAGCAGAGGACCAGGACAAAAAACATTGAGAATATTTTAGGATTAGGGTTCCCACTCGTAGTTTTTCAGTCATGGTTGTCCTAGATCATTTTTGATTGTGTTTCAGCTCCTCCCTCAGATTACGTTAACCTGAGTGCATATTTAGTTTGAAACTCAACTGTAGGTAGGATGAGCTGTGCAGTGTGACATGTAAATGATGCGAGGAACAGAAAAATGCTCCCACATCATTGTGGCTCCCATGTAAATGTTAATATCTACATGCATACAGCCTATTAATGATCAAATGTGTCATTGTGGTTGTTAAATAAATGCACAGCGGTGTTGATTGTACGTGTAACAGTCACTTTCGAACTCTTTTAATAGGCTAATAGGTGAGAACATTTTTACTTAAGGGCTGTGGATAAATCTTAACAAGAGTGTTTCTAGCCTGAAGCTGTTTTTTTTTTTTTTTTCTAAACCGCTCTCTGTTTTGAGTGTTGATCGTACAGGTGTACCCTGTCACATTGTGCGAACTCTCTTAATTGCACAAACCTGTTTCAACTTGATGAATTCCTCTCCGTTTGTGGGTTTCATTCATTTAGTAGTGTCAATAGTCACATTAGGGGACAAGAAATTACATTTGAAAATAATATTACCTCAGAGCAGGACTCGTGATTTCATTAATTGTCAGTCGGATACTTGAATGAAAGCATCTTTTCCCTGGACGTTTTGTACCTTAACCCTTGTGTGCGCAGTGTTACACCTCTTGAATACATATGAGTGAAAAGACTAACCTCATTCGGTAAAGCTTGGCTGCCACGTGTCCTGTCCACTGTATATACTGTATCTGTGTTTGTCTGCAGACCGCATCCATAATACAGGGAAACCAAACAGCTTGTCAAGTGATCACACAATGGACAAAAAGGTATTATATGTGATCATGCAGTCAGAGAAGTGCTTGGTAAAGAAAGAGGAGGCCAGGCAGAGTACGTGTGTGTGTCAGTGTGTGTCTGCGTCTGTCGTTCAGGATCGTGTGGCTGATGAGTCACTGTGGGTAACACAAGTCACATTTCAGGCAGCTGGACTGTTGTTGAGCTGTCACCCAACTGTTGTCTGAATCTCACCACCTGGACGTCATATGGTAGAGAGAACCTGTGGTTGGCGAACCGTTTTAGAGCAATTACTGTGCACAGATGAAAGGATAACATACCTTTACTTGGGTTTTCATTATTATTCTGACACCAGTTTTTAGTCTGTGTTCTCATTTAGCTGCTACTGCATATATAATTTCTTATTTTATACTTTTATTTCCACTGCCAGATGTATGTCTTGGTCTCATTAGGTACATTTTACTAAATGCCCGACCGATATGGGATTTTTAAGACTGATACAGATTTTAGAGCGGAAGAATTGCTGATACTGTACGTCTGTGTGGCTTGTACACTGATATGACTATGCAAAGGTACTCAGAAGGCCCTAAACAAACCATTTTATCAAAGAAGAGCCTCCATTAGCAGCCGCCATTGTTGTTTAACAAACAGTGCCTTCTTGCAGCGTCACATCTAGCAGCCACTTCCGTAGCAGCCACTACTCCTCAGAGGACTCTGATTGATCTGGAACCGCTGTAGTTTGGCCACAGACACGTAGACTGAAGGCTGGCGAGGTGGATTCTGGCATGATCTTGTGGTGTCATGACCTTGCGAGTGATGTTTTAATCATATCGTGCAGCCCTAATTGTATTATTTATATCCCCCGATATCAGACAGCAGCGGATGTGGTTGTAGTCGCGATTGATGATAGACAGCACCACTGCACAACTAATAATAATAATAATAATAATAATAATAATAATAATAATAGTGTACCAGTGACCTAGAGTGAATCTGGAACCTCTGTGATCTGTGAGGGGAGAAAGACCAGAAGACCTGTTGTTTTTATCAGTGGCGTTGTTAATGGCCAGAGTGAAGAAAGAAAGTGAAATATGGTCTCGGAGCCCTGCAGCTTTGGATTCACGGCCCGTCTGTGTTTGCCTCGGCAGCCCGGGAGAGTTCATTTGTCTGAGTGCTGCTGAGTCACACACGTCAGACTTCACTTTGAGTCGTTGTTTGAGAGAGATGCAAGTGGGTTTGGTGTACAGGCTCAGCGGCGTTATCTGCTTTTCATCCAACACGAATTGCAGAATAACACATGCAACATGAGCTCTTATCGGCTCGTGTGGAAGCATACTGAAGAGAGACAGAGAATGTCAGCTGGGTAAAGTGCGCAGCCTTCAGCCAGTAAAGAGCGAGCAGGAGTGTGAACGGAGCCCACTCCCTAAACACGAGCCATCGAGTCTTCTCAGAGGTCACCTTTTCAAACAGACAGAGAAACTGGACTGAGTC